TGGTGGCTTTGCCTGGAAGGATGTCCAGAATGACGTCTGGAAGGTCGTTCCTCTGTCCAGTCTCATTAGCATATTACACTTTTATTACTATAGATGGGGTTGGGTTTTTTTTTTGAGAGAGAGGGAGAGATAGAAACATCGATGAGAGAGAAACATTGATCTGCTGCCTCCTGCACACCCCCAAACAGGGATCAAGCCTGAAACCTGGCATCTGACCTGACAGGGAATTGAACCAGAGACCTCTTGATGCATGGGTTAATGCTCAACTACTAAGGCATACCAGCTGGGAGTGAGCTATACCTATTGATAGGAAAGTGGGTTGAAAAAAAGGACAAAGGAGGGAAAGGTGAGTAGAAATGTAGAGGTAAGAGTAAAAGAATTATGGTAACTAATAGGCCTGTTTACCAGGATTCTGAGCTGGGAAGTCTCTTCCTGGGGGTTTGCATTCTATTACTTAACCTGCAATGCTTAGATCAGTGGTCTTCACAACAGAGTGTACATACACCTGAGGGTGTGAAAAGACTCTTCAAGTTCCTCAGATAGGAGTAGTGTCAATGAGATTAATGTTCATACCCTCAAACCCCACATGACCTCGTTCATAAAATGGGTTGAAAAGGCTTATTTCCCATTACATCTCTCACAGTTGTCTTTCTTTTACTTTAAAAACAAGGGATTGTCCAACCAGCATGGCTCAGTGGTTGAGCATCAACATATGAACCAGGAGTTCATGGTTCAATTCCCGGTCAGGGCACATGCCGAGTTATGGCTGGATCCCCAGTATGGGCAATGTAGGAGGCAGCCAACCAATAATTCTCTCTCATCATTGATGTTTCTATCTCTTTGTCCCTCTCCCTTCCTCTCTGAAATCAATAAAAATATATTTTAAAAACAAAACAAGGAATAGCCTTTCCCTCCTCTCCCATTCCTTTTTTTCTCTTTCTCTTTCTGTCCTTTCCCTTCCCTTCCTGAACAATCCAGTCCTAAACTGTTCAGGTAGGTAGAGCAAAATCAACATCTGTGTTGGCAGTCAGTGCACACAGGGTGTAGAAGGGAAACTGAGGTGACCCACAGCAAAGGATCAAAGCCTAAGCAGTAAAGGGATACCAACCTATGAAGGAAGCCTGATGTGGGGGAGGTGAAAGTCCATGGGGGGGAGGAGTTCTCTGATGAGTGTCAGAGTCAGAGAACAGTGAAGAATGAGGTGGGACATGCCAGAGCACAAACAAGGTAAGGAGGCATCTATGTGGAGGGAGTGCTTAGCATAGGGCTGGAGAGGGTTGATGAGGACATTCATGTAGGATAAAGGGTAGAAACAGAGGAGGGTTTATGAAAAAGATAAACATATCAAGTAATAAGAGCCAGGTTTCTCACTTTCAGAGAAGAAAGTTATAAATATTGAAGAGTGGGAGATACTGAAATGAAATCACTAGCT